AATTAAAAATAGATTATATAACTAGCTAGTTTCCATTGTATGATACTGAAATTTTAATAAGAAAAAAAAATATTAATAATTCTGATTTTATAAAAAAGGAATTTGTTGCTCAAAGAAAACGTGTATTTGAAAATTACTGTAGTATTTGAAACACGAGAGTTATATTGTTTTTAAATTAAAAATTGGGAAAAAATAAATAGGTCCATTTCAAATAAGTGAAATACTTATTATCCAAACTTATGTTTGTTAATGCTTATAAGAATTATATGATTGAGTTAATTCTCACAATTTTTATGGAAATACCTCCAAAAAATTTCAAAAGATTATTAGATACTTTTTTTCATCTCACATACGAGCACTTTGTAATAATTGTTATTTTTATAGATTTTGAGCCAATTTGATTATTTTAAATATTTTTCATTTTGTTGCTCTCCAACTGAAGGGATTTTTGGTGATTTTTATCGGTTTTGACCTATTTTCGTTTTCTACATTTTTCTTCTATATAAATGGAAGCAATAAAGATTTAAATGCTGTTGGATCACTTCAATATACTGAAACTCCTAAAGGGAATGAACTAAAACCAGGAGATAATTTCTCTGTCTTTGAATTAAAGACAATTAGAACTCAATTTGACGATAGAATTTTAGTGTGCTAATAGATGAAAACTGGAACAAATTACAAATATATTTAGCTGATCTATTTATTAAAAAGTTAACTGAGAAAGATATTAAATAATGAATGGAATAAAAGATCGTAACCTTATTAATAAGGGAATGAAAGACTGGAAAAATAATCAATAAGCTCGTATCATTAAACTTGGGATTTAACATTAACCTGTGTGAGCATTTCCTATGCACATTTTGTAATAATTATTACTTTAAAGTATTTGGAGTTTTAAAAAAATATTTTCTAACAGTTTTTGTTATATAAATATAGTTGAAGTAGTGATAATGCTTCAACTGAGGAATAATTTTGGCATTTTTCGAGACTTTTTACATTTTAAGTACTTTTCGATATTTTTCACGACTTCTAAATGGGTTATGTTTTAAAGGGCTGAAACTCTGACTGACCCGTTGTATTTTTTAATAAAATTTAATTTTTTAACTATTTTCCATCTAGCTGGCGTAGAACCAACATACTATCCATGTGAGAGGTAATAATTGAGGCATGGAGAGCAGGGCTAAAAGAAAAGTTTGATTGATGATTATCATTTTTCGTTGATTGTTAACGATTTTAAGCTATTTTTATGATTTTTTTGTGTTTTCGGTATTTTGTATTCTTTGAATTCATTTCTTTCTAAGTGACGCAGAAGTCCCATATATATATACTATTAGTGTAAACTGACATAAAAGCGCAATAATTAATTCTGGCTGTCAATAAGTTCAGCTGAAAATTTCTAGTTCGGCTAAATGTTGCCAGTGATAATTTATTTCATAATGCCTGAAATGAGTTAAGATTGAAGGCTTCCAGATGGCAGCACATGATGGTCTGCAGTCACAGTGATGTAGTTTCGGAAGTACCTCTAGAAGAATATTGGGAGACGAGGACAGTCTGTTATAAGCTATTGACATATTTGACATTAACAACATATATATAGAGCAATATACGTATATATATATGGTCTTGCACACATGTACGTTTATTACATAAAGTCATTAATGACTGTTGTATAACACAAATGAGCCAAACACACAAAGAACACCACAGAAAGCAACATGTACGTGGAAACAAAAAAATCGATCTAATATGTTGAGACTCTGTGATATAAGTTGACTGTTATAAGTAACTTGTAAGGTATTATTTGAAGATACATTGCACCTGTTATATTAATTAATTCTGGTAAGAGAATCTTTCAGTTACAACATTGAAATATTAGACTGGTATTAAATTTTTATGAAGAGACAAACATAACAAAGAAACACACACACACACACACACACTACGTCTGAGAGATAACACAGTTTTATTTTGTGTTTTTCGTAAAGGAGTAGTTCGAGATATTTTTATTGAACTGATTCGAAACTATTTACGGGTGGATGAAATTATCAATACTATATGAAATTCACAGACATTCATTTAGATATCATAACAAACGTAAACTTAGTGTACTCATTTGGTTGTCATAGAAAATGTTCTGTATGGCAGATTTAACTATTTTAAATAAACAAACAATTTTACTGAATATTTTACTAACATTGTTTCAGCACAAGGTGTAGTCAGTAATAATACATGAAAATGCAGGCTATAAAAGAACTAGGATATGAAAAGTAACACTCGTGTGATAAAAGCTTTGTAAGTCACGACAAAAACTAATACCAAACTTGTAACTGAAAGAAGTTCTCTAAGGAAAGAAAATGTAAACATTAGTGGATTCTACTGGTCAAAGGTCATCTCGTGTATGTAGTAAACAGTTTACAGCCTTGACTATATTCCTTCCTACTGGATCTGGGCTCTATCCATGTGATAAGGATGCATCTTCTATTGGTGATATAAGTTGTGAGTTTATAAAGCCTATATAAATGTTGTTTGAAAATGTTATGACTATCTCATAGAATTTTAAAGCAGGAAATGATTATTATCAAGTGGTTATGGTTCTTTTCAACTACACATCTAACTTAACTTTTGACTAATTAAAATTCACTTGATCTTACGTTTTAAATCCAGCTAATGGTCAACCATCCTGTCTTGTTTGTGAAGTATATTGATAACCTCCAAACTACATTCCAAGAGATATTCTGAAAAACCACCATAATGGCCAACTGTAAGACAATGGTGGTTGTAATGAACAATATACTGGCAAGGTTTAGATGAGAGGTACAAGATTTTTGTGCTGACTTTAGGTGTATATAATAAATTTTGTACATTTCTTTTCCTTAACTTAAAAATGTCTTCATTTTCTTATTTTGGTTTATATATTATTTGTACCATGTCAGGTATTTTTGATAAATGTTTTGTTTCTCGTGACAAAGTTTTATTACAACAAGTATTTTTATTTAGTTTATTTGATTAGTTTAGTAATGCATGTTCATTGCATTTATTTATTTATTTAACATTTTAATAATCTAACCATTTTATTATTATTGAGTAATGAATTGGTTTTATGTTTTTCTTTCTCGTTTATACAGTTTTGATTGAATTGTATTTCTGTGTTAAAGAGGGTTTTCCATATATTTATTCTTATATATTGATGAGTAGTATGTTAGCCAACCCTCTCCTAAAGGGGTTAGGTGATATTTCTTCAAAGATTATTTTGATATGTAAGCTTCTGTATCAATGGGGTTTATTTTTGTATTATGTATTATTTCTGTAAATATATATATATATATATATATATATATATGTATAATTTCATTGTTTAAGAGTATTAATTGTATGTATTATGCACTTTTGCCTTACTAAGGATTTTCGTATTGTGTTTATTATTAATTAATTATGTATTGTGTTACATTTTTAAGTTTAACTGAAGGGATTTTTAAGTTATAGTTTTAAGTGTTGTGTCATTCATGTTGCATGTAAACATTTACAAGTATATGAGAAAGTTAATGTATTTTTGATCGTGTCACAAGTTAAAGTTAATTGGTTTTAAAAGTTAAATTTAACTTTGGAATGCCATGAATTATCTACCTTCCTATTTTAATTCTAAATCAATTTATTCTGAATATATGCAGTGGTCCAGAAAATCATTAAGTTGACTTTGTTATAGCTGCCTTTGTTCCAGCCACAGAATATTGATGACAGAAATGTCCTTCACTAATGGGACAGAGGATATCCAAGGTTTTGGCTTCCTCTATATTGAATGATAAATACACGTTACCTGGGTATTGCTAGTTAATTTGGTCAAATTCGACGTTTTTCCTGTTAAGTAAAGAATGTTAGATTTTAAATAGTTTACATGGAATCTTAAGTAAGTTGTTTGACAAGACTACATCTTGAGGGAAAAAAGTGTTAACCAGTTCATAACACAAGTAAAAGGCGACAGTCGAGCGTCCAACATAAACATACATATTGTGTTTTGTGTCTTTCAATAAATAAATATTGTTCTCATTTTTTACACATTGTATCCAGTCTCTTTATTTCATAGTTTCAAACTCAGTCAGTTTAGAAAACCAATATTAATTTGTAATTTATCCTGTCAATCCTCCCGTTATAAAGTGGACATACATAATGCTCTTTGAGAAAATCGAAAAAACCTGAAAATACCCTAGTGTTAAATGTATAAACTAATCTGAAACTCTGCAGTTACGTTAGAAGCTTTATCACCATAGTGAAGCCAACAATATTTGAATATAATATTATGGTAACGTAAGCTTGCTTTTGTAGATCTTTCTACAGTCGTTGTTATTAATTACCGTTATCATTTTTGACTGATTAGGTTAATAGTTATTTTAACTATATTTTTAACTTGGTCTTGTATTTGAAAATTAATTGTTTGTTTGTTTATTTAAAGAGCAAAGCTATAAAATGGGCTATCTACGTTGTGTCCACTAGATGCGGGTCCGTAGGAAGTATAAATGGAGTATATATAATGTAACTTAGAACTGGCATAGCCAAGTTGTTAGGGGCGCTAGACTTGCAAACTGTGGGTCGCGAGGTCGAATCCCCGTCCCACTAAACATAATTACCCTTTCAGCTATGGGAGCATTATAATATGACGGTCAATTCCACTAATAGTTGATAAAAAAGTACCCCAGGAATTGGCTGTGGGTGGTGATGACTATATGTTTTCCCTCTAATCTTTCACTGTTAACTTAGGGACGGCCAGAGCAGATAGCTCTCAGGTAGCTTTGCGCGAAATTCAAACCAATCAATGGGACATAGTTAATTTAAGAGAAATAAAACATTTTTTTATGTGTGATATAGTCATGTGTTATTATAATATATATATATACATATATTTGTATTTCGGTATATTATATCATATATAAATATTAATCAAGTAAAACAAAACACAGTTAACGTCTTCATTAACATGAACATTAACATGTTTAATCAATGCTAATAGCGTATACAATACAAAATGTATCGTAAAGTACTGACAGTACGATGTACCAGCTTGTAAAATATAAGTAATACAAAAACGCCCTTGAACTTCCTATTGAAACTACTTTACATAATTACCTTTTTCATTCCTTTTTAAAGGATCCGAATATATAATGACAATAGTGAAGAATGAAACTAGCTAATATATTACATTCCTTCCCCCTTTTCTATACAGTTGATTAAAAGGTCTCAAATTATTTACGCAGCGACAGATACATTCGAAATTGAGGGGACATCATCATCGGTATTTTGTAGGGAGTTCTGATAAACAGCGCTGTGATGAAGTTGTGGGAATAATCCTTTGCTTTCGGGAGTTGATACCTTAGTTTTGGAGACAATGATATCGGAATATTCCTTTTCGCAGATCAGTTTCGGACAACACTCTGGGTATGGTAATCGCTTATCTTCTACAACATCACACTTAAGTGATGGTCCTTTCTGAAACCGTGGACACCTGTAATAAAAACTTTTAAACTAGAAACGCTAATATCATTTTTCGAATTACGTGTTTCTTTGTTTGTAGGCAAGCACAAAACTACACAATGGGCTATCTGTGCTCTGCTCACCACGGGTATCGAAACCCGGTTGTTGTAGGTCGACAAACATACTCCGTGCCACTGGAGGACTCGAAATAAATGAACTAAAAACACAATTATTCAGATATTACATAGCTATGTATTTACCACGTAGGTGGATTATTCATATGCAGCCTAAAACATATCAATGTTTGAGTTAATTTCCCAAAAAAAAACAACAAAAAACATTCATTGTTTCTTTTCGGAACAGCGGCAAATTTATTTTAATATTAAATATTTTACCAGCTTACAATAGGGGGCAAATAAACTTTTTTTTTTCGAATCAGTCCAAAACGATGTAACTATGCAGACATCAACTGAAATATTTGCACCCTAGTGGCACAACGATATGTCTGAAAACTTGCAACGCTAGAAACCGGGTTTCGATACCCGTGGTGAGCAGAGCACAGATAGCCCTTGTGTAGCTTTGTGCATAATTAAAAACAAAACAAACAAAACTAAAATATTTTATTTTACAATGTGTAAGGAAAGTCATAAAAATTTGGGTTTAGGAGCAGAAGTGACACTTAAAAATGTCATAAAACGTCCCATCTTTAATAAATGATATATTTATATAATTCATGTAACTTTTTGGGATGCTTAAAACATTTAGTACAAGTTCCAAGTTACTTCTGCTTGTTTGCACCAAAATCAATAGAAATAGCTTTGATCTGATTTAATATTATTACGTATTATATTGTATATTTTGTGAACTTTGACGTGACCTGTAGCGTTTTACATGTTTTACTGAAACTGTGAAATTAATGTCAGTTGAATCATTACCATCCGTAATTCACAAGCTGAAAATGTCAATTTTCTAATATTGTTACGCTTACATGTTTTTTCATCAACGGTAACTAGCAATGCTATTCAAAAACACTACAACACCAAGGTTTAGATTTAAAAAGTAATCCTTGACACTTACAATGAATGAAATGATCATCAGCACTTTTGTTCATATTGCAAACGTAAAAAAAAACGGGCTAAAACACGTTTATATACTGTTATAGTAACGCACGGTAATTTGGGACATACGATTTTTTTTTCTTTGATCCTTAGTGTACTAACTAGTTTTTTGACACCTGCTGAGTCTACGCAACTGTTCAGAAAAGCTCAATCTAATCGCACAGAGCAGAACTGACTCACCGACTCCCTGCAGGTGAAATCATTCGTATCTCAGTTGAAAGCTAAACATAAAAATGTGATAGTAGAAGCACAAAAGATTGGCAGTTACTTAATTTATGATGCTGAGAATGTGGCTTTATAGATATATACTGAATTTACTCCCAGTGGGTGGACCTTAGTACTAGCTAGTATGAAGACTTGAGAATGCTGTATTTCAATTAACAAACGAAAACTTTTCTCGAAGTAATCTCGAAAAGATACGTCCAAAACCACCCTCTTTGGGAGTTTACGGATTGAATTTATATTTAATATTCAACAAATTGTAGTGTAAATACACCCCTTGGCGCCTGAGGGACGTATGAATATGAACTATTTCATTTGCACTACATAATTCTCCTTTTTTTTTGAATTCAAATTGTTTATTTATTATTTATTACAGATTATATGATATTTCTGGTGTAATTACCATTATATTTGTTTTATACCTCTAGATTACTGAAGATGAAATTTGAGGATTCTCAAAAGGCTTAATAAATCCTTCATGTAGTTACATTTGTATTTTTCGTTATTATGTTTTAAGCTAGTTGTGGAAGGATGAAATTACTAGTTGTGTCCAATTTGACATAACCACTCAAATCGCTAAGAGAAATGAAGGAGTACAGATGATAATATACATATAGATTTGTTAGTGACTTTCATTATATCTTGCCGAACACCTAAAATTTCGGAAATTTAAGTATAAGTCATTAATATTGTGCTTTACAAGTGTAATGATTAGAAATATTTACATATTTAACTATTCAATAATTAATAAGGAATACATTTTAGAATTTTTTAAATTTTCACGCGAGTTTTCCACTATATTTAACGATACCCTTGTAAGTCGGATGTGAGAAGGTTGTAAATTTGCATTAATCTCTACCTTAGACAAAAATTACACAATATAATGATTGTCTATAGGATTACACTTGCATGAGTCCATTTCTGTGTCATGCTCTCCTGCAAGGGGTAATGCAGAGACTTGTACAAATTAGAATGAGTTTGGGCTTATCTCCCCTGAATATGTTTAATGTGAATTATTATTAGTTTAGGTAATCTAAGGATTCTGGGATACTGCACTAGGGCCTTGGAATGACTTAAATTATGGTACTTCCATTTTTCTGATCTCTTTGTATTTTATAGAGTTTTATATCTTTTGCCATCCGTGTTTATTTTATTTTATAGCTACATTTAGCTTTCTACTGAAGGGAATTCTGCGATTATGTTATCAATTAATGCTAACGCCCAAGCTCTTCAGTTAGTCCTGAAAAGTTTATAAGCATGATTTTCTAATAACAAGCTAAACTTTCATACTTGATATAGTTTTCCATATCCCATAGATAATGTAGAATATAAAAGTAATGTCAACATCATATACTGGACAATTAATGACCATATGTAAGATCTATAATAGAATAGACCTTGAAAAATCCTGATATTTACCCCATGTGGTCATGTTTGGGACACAGTGGCTCGGGACACAATAGATCATTTTGATTAAAAGAATCCTAGTATTATAACGGCTCTATGAAAAAGCTCATCACTTGATATTCCTGGTTTATATAACAGTTAACCATAGAAGTTGAGAACAATTTGAGGTTAGATTATTTTTTAAGATCCTAATATTGTGAAAACTCTGAAAATGTGTAAATTGCTCATCAAATGCGTCATTCCATATTTTTGTTAGGCGTTGCAGCATAGTTTTGTTTGTATGTAATTATGCACAAAGCTACACAATGGGCTATCTTTGTTCTGTCCACCACGGGTACCGAAACCCGGTTTCTAGCGTTGTAACTTCGCAGACATACCGCTGTGCCACTGGGGGGCTGCAACATAAGAAATATGTTTAATGTGAAGACAGGGCTTATTCTAACTACAGAGCTTTCAAGTCATCTTGTAATAAAATGATTTTGTTGGAATCAGTTGCTGATTCACAATACCCAGGGTTGGGCTACAGTGGACCACTTTGGCTTTTTTCACATATTAATAAAAATATTAATTATTTACAGAACTTATAAAATAATTGATGCAGTAATGTAGCAAAATGGCTAATTGTTATTTATACCTGGGTAATATCAGCTGTTGCTTAAAGGTAATTACACTTTAGAGAAACAGATCCTATCCACTGAGTCCTGAACTTTCTTATTTGATACTTTCTTGGTGGGTACCTGCATACCACAAAGTTCTTCCAGCTATCAGTATTACTGCATGTTACCAGTGCAGGAGTAACGAATTTTGGGGCCCTGTGCACTATATAAATTTTGCTCCCCACCTTCCTTTAATTAGAAAGAACATTTGATATACAGCCTGCAAATATCAAAGCATCTCTCTGTATTAGGCTCGAGAACAGTTTTAGTATAACGTATTCAGCACTTACTTCTCGAATCTTATTGAAGTAGATTTTTTCCCCAGTGATCAGAGGATGGTCCATCTGGCATTAGATTATGCTTTACTGCTTAACACAGAACATTAGTTTTTACAAAAATTCACTATTACTTCCTAATGACCAACATTACTCTCTACTTAGGTACCTAAATTGAGGTTAATCTGTGACAATTATATATCATTCGTTATCATGGTATCCTTTATGACCAACTAAGTCTAATCCTCACTTAATTAATATCTTTTATTACTAGAAATATACTAACTAGTAACTAGTTTATAGCCTTTATTTCGGTTTCTACTCAGTTGTTGTCTTCAGTGAAGTATTGAGAATGAGTGTATTTTGTGTTGGAAATAGTTAGGATTTGATCCTGCGTTTTCTTGATAAAAAGGCTCGTGCTCCCCTCACAGAAGTCAATATTCTCACTTTGTATTATGTTTAAATTGATTTTATAAAACTAATAATACTCTTAAGCGCACACACGTAAAATTATGATTAGACCTAAATAACAACAAATAAAGTTGAAATGGGCAGCAATTCCTTAGTTCTGAGTAGCACTTTAGGTGAAAGTCTTTGAGGACTAATATACAAAAGAATTGGTTTGATTTGGAATTTCTCGCAAAGCTGCACGAGGGCTATCTGCGCTAGCCATCCCTAATATAGCAGTGAAAGACTAGAGGGAAGACAGCTAGTCATCACCACTCACCATCAACTCTTGGACTACTCTTTTACCAACGAATAGTAGGATTGACCGTCACAGGGAGACAACAGGTACGGATAGGCGTTCTTATATATGTGGAATATGCGATATTTTCTTTATGTTGTATTAACTGATAATTTATTGTTAAATGATTAATTGATTTATTAACTAATTGATAGATTAATAAATTAATTACTTAACTAATTAACGACCCTCTCAGGGTGGGCAGGAACCTATAAGTTCTATACCCCAAATTTAGGTGAAGGAGGAAACCGGAGAACCCAGTGAAAACCCACTTTCACAGGGCAGACGCCGAATAATCTATCTGGATTGATTGATTTCTTGGTGCCGAGGTTTATATAGCTTTCAGGACGATTGAAAAGGACGTGGCGTGACTAGCTGGTGGTTTGTTTAATGTGGTTGGTGGAGCGAATGATGAACTGACCAATGGTATCCACAAACAGCGTATATTTAGGCCTGAGTCTTTATTTATCAATGGTTTCATCATGCTGATGTAAAAAAGACTCTTTGATTTTCTTGCTTGCCACAGTTTATCGGGGGTGATGTGTCTGTAATTGTCCCAGTCTATTTTACGTCAGTAAACCTGGAACGTTTTGCCAGGGCAGAATTTTGTTTTCACCAGTCTAGTGCAGCCATTATGTTCTTTTATTCTTGCCCCAAAGTGTCTTCTAGTTTCTCCGGGGTAGGTCTGTTTACAGAAAAACGATATTTCATAAATGATGTTTTTGTGTTATTCATCAAATGTTCCTTGCTTAGTTTTGACAAGGATAAACCTGAGTTTTCTGTAATATTTCTAATGGACATTAATGTTGAACTATTCGAGTACATATTTGTTTCTCTCACTTACGTTTGAACATGTGAGAGATAAATGTTGTTGGTATTGTTTTTCTTGCCTGTTGCATCAATTTGTATTTATATGTTCTTCAATTTATTGGTGATGAAACAAGAAGGGTACTTTTTTGTTTAGAACATTGTATGATAAGTCGACTTTTGGTTTTGATAGCGTTTTTGTCGTTGTTGTTCAAATATGCACTTAATAATATCGTGTTTAACAGAAGCTCAATGGAAAGACTGGAAATATAAGTATCTGTCAGTATGAGTTGGTTTCTTGTATATGGTTGCTGTGAACTTGTCATTCTGTCTGCTGATCAAGATATCAAAGCAGGCTTTTGTTATTCTATATTTCTATGATGAAGTATATTCTGTTGTCTCCAGAGTTAGAGTGTTTTAAGAAAGCTAGTAAACTAGTAAGTCTTCATGACTATGGTGCTAAGTAACAAATGTATCGTCAACGTAGCGTCTGTAAAAACCGTGTTTCTTATTTGGAGGAGAGGAATCTTTGTTCAAAATCTCCCATGAAAAAGTCTGCTAAATCTGGAGAGAGTGGTGATCCAATGACAAGGCCGTATGTTTCTTTAAATAAATCATTGCCGTATTAACAGCTTCTATCTTGACCCGGCATGGCCAGGTGGTTAGGGAGCTCGACTCGTAGTCTGCGGGTCGAGGGTTTGAATCCCCGTCCCACCAAACATGCTCGCCCTTTCAGCCGTGGGGGCGTTATAATGTGACGGTCAATCCCACTATTCGCTGGTAAAAAGAGTAGCCCAAGAGTTGGCGGTGGATGGTGATGACTAGCTGCCTTCCATCTAGTCTTACACTGCTAAATTAGGGACGGCTTTACGCGAAATTCAAAACAAACCGAGCTTCTATCTTCACGACAGTTCCGTATATAAGAAATTTATTATTCAAGAGCTGTTATTTTGTGATGCGGATGAAAATATCAAATCAGGCTTTTATTGTACTATTGTACATCTGTAAGTCTTTCTCCTCAAATGTCACTCTGAACTAGGCAGTTGTTACCCATTTCAACTTTGTTTTTCGTCATGAAGACTCAGTCTAAATCATATATATAAAAGAGATTATCTAAATATATCTAAATAAATAAATATATGTTCAATTATAAGTATGACTTATCTGCTTCATCTACGCTACTCATAAGAAAAACAAGAAACGACTTTAACTCAGTTTATACGAAGTAACCTCATCTAGTACATAAAAACACCTAATATCAAAATGCCAAAATGATGAAATTTAACTTACATGTAATGCACTTCCAGCAACATATTGCTTTCATACTTTTCACATCTCTTCAGGGAACAAGAGCCAACCGTCCAAGTCTCGTTAACGTGACGTGCCACACAGTGTTGAACATCATAGCACATCCCGGGGAAGTCTGAATGAAAAAATAATAGTTTTTGTTCCTTCTGTAAATAGATCTAGATAGAAGAAAATAATAGATAGGAAAGAGAAAATGCCATCGTTCATAAATATGACAATTGGATATTATTATAACTTCTACTTTGGTTAATAAACTGTTGCATTTATGACAGTATATAAGTATATGTTAAAAATGTCAAGTTCTTGAAGGAACATGAAATATCTCCAATGAGTTTTTTTAAGTAAGTTATACTCTGTTATTTCTGCTCCCCCCCCCCATTGGTACAGTGGTAAGTCTAAGGCTTATAATGCTAAAACTGGGTTTTGATACCCGTGTTGGGCACAGAACAGATTGTTTTGTACTCAATTACAAACAAATAAAAACTGACTAGAACTTTCAATATCTTTTCTTTAATTCTAAACTTTTTATTGGTATATTTTTAATATAAAGATTATTTTGCATTGTTAACTTAGTATATAGATTCATAACTAACCTAAATCCCCTGGGCTGGCCGAAGCTTCCATAAGATTGCATGCAGATTTCAATATGTTTCAACTTATGTTTATAGTTTTCATTTATATATTCAACTGTATTACATGTGTTGCTATTGGTGGACAGTGTTACTAAAGTTAGTGCTGCTAGGGTGGATAGTTCAATAGAATGACGAGCTCATCGTAGTGTCTCAACTTGTGATCATGTCATCAATGTCTAGACTTAAGTATATATCCTAAAGATATAAATCTATTATTTGTATTTGTTCAGCATAATAAAAGTATTCACGACAAAACATTTAATTTTATTGTGGTTTTCCCTTATTTCGCGGCCCGGCATGGCCAGGTGATTAAGGCGCTCGACTCGCAATCTGAGGGTCGCGGGTTCGAATCACCGTCACACCAAACATGCTCGCCCTTTCAACCGTGGGGGCGTTATAATATGACAGTCAATCCCGCTATGCGTTGGTAAAAGAGTAGCCCAAGAGTGATTGGTTGGTGGTGATGACCAGCTGCCTTCCCTCTAGTCTTACACTGGAAAATTAGGGACTGCTAGTGCAGATAGCCCTCGTGTAGCTTTGCGCGAAATTCAAAAACAAATGTAAATATTAAACGATAAAGCCAATTGTGTTTTTATGATCTAGTGTATATTTAATGTACTAATTATAGTTTTCATTTCTATATCTAATTTGTATGACATACTTTTTGTAACTTTTGAAATTTTATAAGTAAAACATTTATTGCTAACTAATTTCTTTAATTAATATATAACATCTATTCATCTGGAAAAGGGTGCTTATTTAATTCTCTAGATAATATAAAATAAGGTATAAAAAATATAAACAAAAAATTAGGAAATAGGAATGAGAGCACCAATAAGTAAGAAAACAAGGTAGGAATGGGCGGAGTAACATTACAACACTTATTGCTAATTCATTTCTATAATTAATGTATAATATCTAATCGTCTGGAAAAGGATGGTTACTTAATTTTCTGCGTAATATACAATAATTCTCATGTTTAGCTTCACAAGTTACGTTTCTTCTCGTTGGAAACCCGTAGTAAAGGATCAGTAATGAAAGACTTGTAAAGAAATATTACCAGTCTTGTTGTGTGTTCAGACGTTCCTGTAACTCAAGAAAGTCGTCATACAGTTAGTATAGATTGAACATAAGTTTTAGCGACTCTGTATACTATACAAATGAAACTCCAATTATCACAGCGTTTGTCTGCATTTTATAGACACTTGTCTTTGTACACTGACAGTCTCGGCATGAGACCTAGAAGGTGCCGTCAAAGCTGTTTTTCTTTTTGCTGAGTGAACCTAGTTTGGTTCAAAGTTGTACTCTTGGTGAAATGCAAACTTACATTTTGTATTTACAGTAAAGCTACTAAGGCCATCTGCTGCCTTCCCTAAGTTTGAACTATTGACCAGATGAATTTTGGTTTGGTTTGTTTTGAATTTTGTGCAAAGCTACATGAGGGATATCTGCACTAGCCTTACCTATTTTAGCCATGAAATACTAGAGCCAACTCTTGGGCTACTCTTTTACCAATGAATAGTGAGATTGATCATAACTTTATAATGCCCCCCACGGGTGAAAGGACGAGCATGTTTGTGGGGACGGGAATTCAAACCCGCGATTCACAGATTGCAATGGCTATTCCATGCTTATCACATGGAAAGCAGACAATCAGCAGCATTTGACCACCCATTCTAAGAGACACATTGTTACTTTAATAACGCGCTCACAGCCTATAGTGAAGGGAATACTTTGTAGTATCACATGGATATGAGCCAGGCTCGCCAGCCTCGAAATACAGAGCTCTACTACAGGACCTTCCCCCACCACACTGAAATACAAACTTTTATTATTTTCATATTTTGGAAATAGTGAATACAATGAAATATAACGTTTTGCAGACATAACTAAAACGGCAAAAGGTGACTTTTTTATTTCTGTATTGGTCTAAGTATGTAAGAGCTTTCACCCAAGTTGTGTGTGCATTCTGTAATGCATCCAGAATGTGACAGGTGATCATATAATTGTAGAGAGAATGCTGAGACTCACTTCTCTCTCAAATAAAATGCAGCAGATGGTCAAGGAACACAGACAGGCAACTAGAAGAACTTGCTGGAGTAAAATGGACGCTGAATTTGTGGCGGACTTTTCACGCTTGACAATCGATAAGCTTTGTAACCTTTGCATTAGTGAGTAACAACTGAAACAAGCCACATCGTACATTGTGAAACACATAGGTGAGGATGGTTATTATTAGAGTTTTCCTAATAAGAAACAACTAAACATTCTTAGGGCTAAGATCCAATCCAGACATACATCGTCCAATAGCTACAACTTCTAAACGAATACTTCAGTCTGTGGCTGGCTGTACTGTCAATGGAAGGTTGAAGCCAAAGCAGTTAGATGCTGTGCACATGTTACATCTCTTTTGTGGCACATTGGATCTGAAAGATACGCCAATGAGACTCGTGATGCTCCAGCTGAAGGACTCACAGGGCATATCACTGATGCCACCGGTATCTGGATTAGTTCTTACACTGATTACATGTCCAAAGCATATTTATGGCATTGTATGTAAAAGTACATGTGTGGTATTAAAACATAACAATAATGTTCATCAGTTGTTAGTTTTTGTAATAATTCTTCCTTTGATTTCATAATGTCAATGTGATAAACTTCACTATGATGGTATGAATATTTATTCAGTCTGAGAATATCCATGTTTTTCAGGTATCTGTAGGGTGACCTTAAAATAAGCACTTCAATTATGTAATTTTGAAAAGTAAACTACTAAACTCGCACAAGACTTATAAAACAATCTGGTTGACTTAGTAGTTGCACTACATTTCCCAGCATAGTTTGCACTATGTACTATTGTATAGTGGTTTCAAAAATCAAGGGAAGGATGATGTGTAAACCCAACTAGTGTTGTGAATAATTGCAATCTATATTATGACAATGGTAAGATAAATGCAAAACGCAAAATATTCACACACTTAGGCCATAAAGATGTGTTCAGATTCGAATTTAGAATATATAATACGAGGATATCCCTCGTGCTTAATGACATTGGAAAACAAAGAACTTCTGGATCAACTTGGAATACCAGAAAAATATCTGCAACAAGTCATAGCCCCACCCGTGGAAGGCAAAGTGCGGTGCATTGTAACAGGTGAGAAAATCTACGAACATAAAGGTTAGCGGTGTACTTTACTCAACTTCTGTATTCTACTTGTTACATGGTGTACTTTACTTAACCTCTGTATTTTACTTTTTTACCTTACATACATGAACTTCGTGATAACCTAAGATAAGAAACTGGAAAGTAAATGATACATGTTAAAATGTTCTCTTTATTGGTCTTGCTTCTATGACTTTGACTCATCCCATATCGCTCTCATTGAATCTTTAATAATAACATCTTAGAGCACTTTATTAATAAATTGCGTTAAGTTGTTTTTGAAATATTTTAAATCTTGTATTATTCTGTTTTTAAAAACTATGTTTCATTATCTTAAGAAATAAACATTGTTTAAATATTTCTAATCACAACTATAATGGACTGGTGTAACAGTAGAGAAAATTAGCCTTTTTACCCTTATTCATATGCCGAGATACCCACACCAAAAGTACATAATATAGTTATATGTACATACGACAGTCGTAAACCATGATATTTTGAAATTTAATAATGCCTAAACTTTAAAAACTTTATAAAGATAGATATGTTTAATTTGATTTACTGCCGTTTTATTCTTAATTCTAAAATAGTGAAGGCTCACATTTTTGACGACGATGCTATGACTAAACCTTAAAACATTATACGTATGTTTTATGAGGCGTCAAGTATAACTTTGTAATTTAAGTTAAATTGTTTGCAATTTAAACTAAAGTTTATGTGCAGTTTATGTATTGCATACTTCGTGGTTCTGTCATCGCTGTTACCTATTATAATTATAAATGGATTTGTCAGTCTATAAATGCCACTACTATTTATGAATTGTGAAGTTGGCTGAGAAATATATTTGTTGATTTATTAAACGTACATGACAATTTATAGTCCCCTTGGTTATTTTCCACACGTATCGACTGTATGGTTATTTTCTATACATAAATGTCGATTTATAAATCAACATGTCAGTTTATAAATCTACATAACAATTTACAAATAGACGAGGCGATTTAATAAACCAAGAGGATATCATAGATTACCAAATACACTTAATAAATCGACAAGTATATTTCTCACTCAACGACTCACTTTAAACATAATAGTGTCATTCAGTGATGTAGTGCAGAATTTAGAAATAAGGGGTCACTAAAAGCTCCCTTACCACCACCACACCCTATCCCATAGAACAGCTAATTATCAAATAAAATTGGTTGTTTAGCATGGATTCCGTATTTTATTGATTAAAAGAAAATCATTGTTTGAGGCATATTATTGAAAACGAGCAGTAGGTGTCTATAACTTGTTGGCAATATATTTCAACAATAAACA